AAAAAAAAACTCAATGGGCATTTCAGGGTGAAGATCCTGCAGAAGAGGGAATATGGAAAAGTGAGCCAACAAGGAGCCGCTTTCCTCCTCTAAACACTTGCTGATTCACAAGCAGCAGCCAAAAGGCTGAGCAGCTGAGTGGTTTCATAGGCCTGCAGAATGAGAATGGGAGTTCGGGGCCCAGCCTTGGCGGAGCAGTTGGTAGCGAGTGCTGGAAGCCACATGGCTGATTAGGTTTGGATCCCTGGGATAACCTGAAACATGCCAGGCACATGCTGCCCAAGATCTTAAACTGGAAGGCTGGGGGAAGAGAGTCAGGGTGTGACCAGATGCTCTGGACATGCTTCTCTCTATCTCTCTCTCCCTCTCTTACATGCACACAGTCTCTGCCATAATTTTTTTTTTTCAGATTTCTGCCACAGGGCATGTGCACTCACTGGACAAAGTCAGAGGGAGACAACGAGAGAGAAAGTAAGAAGTGAGAAGTCACCCCTAGGGGGAATGGCTATACCTCAGTCCCTTCTCCTCCGTACTGCTCTCAGGATTTTAGGCACACACACATATGTGCCCAGCAAGATTTTCAAGCTGCTGGGTCCAGGACTCAAACTGCAGTTGACCATGTGAGAGTCCAGCACCTTAGCCACTATACTACCTGCTGGCTGGTCTCACATATATTATGTGAGAAGTCACCCCTAGGGGGAATGGCTATACCTCAGTCCCTTCTCCTCCGTACTGCTCTCAGGATTTTAGGCACACACACATATGTGCCCAGCAAGATTTTCAAGCTGCTGGGTCCAGGACTCAAACTGCAGTTGACCATGTGAGAGTCCAGCACCTTAGCCACTATACTACCTGCTGGCTGGTCTCACATATATTATATATATTTTAAAAAATTATTTTATTTAACTTTATTTATTAATTTATTTATTTTAATTTGATCAGAGAGGGACAGAGTTAGAGAGAGAGACAAAATGAGAAAGCAAGCCACCAGGTCCAGGACTCGAATTGCAGTCAGCCATGTGGGAGTCCAGCGTCCTTAACCACCACGTCACTGCCAGCCCCATGCCCTCACATATATAAAAGAAGAGGGGCCAGCAGGGGGTATAGTGGTTAAGGCACTGGACTCCCACATGGCTGACCACAGTTTAATTCCTGGAACTGGCTTTTAAAACACCA